GCACACTAGTGCACACCTATTATGGTATGCGTCGGCAAAAAGCCTGTGGGCCAAAATGAACCAAAAGCATACCACTCTGTTGGTCCGTGGGCAGCTTGTCAGCCCATCATGTAAGGTCCATGGGTCATGGTTTCTAGCCTATTACTCCAATAAACTTGTTTAGGTTGGTGGGGGGATCGGGTAGGGCCGACCCCTTGCCGACGAAGCTTAGGCTCTGCCTCTGGTAATGTCCTTTCTCATGCATTATATCCTCTTTTCTAAAGATGCCATGAGAAATGATTTATTTCACTTGACAGTATAAATTTCCATTGCCCAATTTGTCTTGATTGACAGAATGGAGAGATTAAGTGCATCTTCTACTTTTCATTCCTCCTATAATTTTTTTTTATCTTTATATGCAATAAGAGCCCCCACAAGAGATCATTCGCATATCTCTGTGGGCCAATAAGCCATGTAAATCATCAATCTGCTTCTAGACATGTCTTCTTAGCCTTGAATTAGAGCATCACTTGAAACCAATAGCATGGTCTCTTGTTTGATTCGTTAAGATTGTTATCAAGAAAAAAGAATCAGAATATTGTCTAAAATTAGAGACGAAAACGATCAAACAACCGAATGTTTTCGAGTCCAGAGATTAATGTGGTTGTAAATAGTTGAGGGACAGAATGAAATTAGAATAAAGTGGACATGGTGCTTTCCTATGCTGCAACTTGCAGATATGCTGCTCTTTTTGTGAAAGTGGTTAGTTTTATCATTTACTATACAAAAATTACCTATAATTACCATATTGGTCATGCTATAATCTCTCCTTTATGCTTTTGGCTATGCCCGCATGGGTTTGAAACGCATACTCTAAGAAAAATGCAAAAAGTTCACACTTATTAGTAGTTCATACACTTTTCGCCAAGCGATGCGTGACAAGATACGTGGATTTCAAACCCTCAACACTCATTAATTTTGGCCACAAGTCTCGGAGGTCTTATTAATTAAGAGAAAGGAAGGTATGAAGTGTTTGGGTTTCTCATGGATGCTGCTGCAGAAACAACAGTGCTAATTGGAAGAAATACAGCAAGTTCATTTAGGAATTTGGCGATGGTGGAGGGGAGAGAGAGAGAGAGAAAGACTAAAATAGTGTGTTTGTTTTGTGATTTGCATCGAACTGTACATAACATACATGAAATTTATCATATGCATTCTCTATTTGTCTTACTAGATTACAAATAATTATTACAAATCAAAAGCAATGATTAGGAAAAAAAAATTCTTGTTCTTAATAATAATTGCTGGAAATGTAAAGGTCAATAAAAATTAAGACGATCATTAAGAAATTGAATAGGGGCTCTTTCTGCCTAATGAAAGGCTAGGCGGTTTGTCTCCATTAACAGGGTCGTAACAAAAGATCCATATTAGAGAACACTGAAAAGTTTTTGATTATCTTTATTTGGTTGGTAGGGCACCCTTAAAATCACAAAGCCATGATGTTCTTATGGACTGTCACAGGAAACAGTACCACGGAAGTGCAACAGTCACACCACCATCAACGGCAGAATCTTTACAGAACTTTTTTTTTGGTAAGTTTAATTTATAGAGATCTAGATTCCCTTAATACACCTTTTTTTCAATTTCTGTTCAATTAGTATATCACCCGTTGTGTTTTATTGACTTCTTTTATATTTTTGTTTCCGCTAATACTTATAACAAACTTTGACCGACTCTTTTTATGTCCAATTCCATCAATTTTCGTCTAGAAAATTCTTATTTATTCGTCAACGATTGATCTAGCTCTTAAAATATATAATATTCTTGATTTTTGTAGGTGATTCACTTATATACAGTTAGTTCCATTTGAATTCATAACTCGTAATCTACCCTTGGGAAATATTTAGAAGAGTTGTACTCAAAAAGATCCAAATCCATCCAGAAAAACCCCAAAAGACATGTAAATGGTGCAATCTAACATGCATCTTATTTTATACGACATATCGTTTTAATTTAGTAAATAATCAATGCTCCTAAACATAGGATCTTCTTTCTCAAAAGAATTGTTTGAGAAAGATGTTAAAAAGGAGAGATTATCTAGCAGAAAAAGCAAGAGGGCTTTGAATCATATGATGCCTCAATGAGTGGAATGTAGACTCATATTCGACTAAAGTTAGCAAGTCAAGCATGGTTAACCCGGCAAATTTTTGTGGGTTATCAATATGTTATTAAGGGATTATAGTTAAAAGGAAGGAATCAAATTGTTAAATTGGAAGAGAATGCTTTCTGACTCGGCCAATTTGAAGGGAGCATCCAATAACCTGCTCTCTTAGTTCAAACTGATTGGTTTTCAAGCTTATTATCTTTGAGATGTTAGGTTCAAATCTCGCAAAAGACGAGTACGTGTATTAAAAAACACATGGTTGGGATGATCAGTTATCCAAAAAACAATAGTTACAGGCAACTATACGGTATGTTCTGCTTCCTTTAAACCAGTGTTTTTCACTCCTAAAACCACCGCATTCCTGATANTCAAACAAACAGCCCCTCAAGGTAAGCTAGCTGTGGGCACTTTCGCTTGAATACTAGTGCACACCTATTATGGTATGCGTCGGCAAAAAGCCTGTGGGCCAAAATGAACCAAAAGCATACCACTCTGTTGGTCCGTGGGCAGCTTGTCAGCCCATCATGCAAGGTCCATGGGTCATGGTTTCTAGCCTATTACTCCAATAAACTGGTTTAGGTTGGTGGGGGGATCGGGTAGGGCCGACCCCTTGCCGACGAAGCTTAGGCTCTGCCTCTGGTAATGTCCTTTCTCATGCATTATATNTAAGGTCCATGGGTCATGGTTTCTAGCCTATTACTCCAATAAACTTGTTTAGGTTGGTGGGGGGATCGGGTAGGGCCGACCCCTTGCCGACGAAGCTTAGGCTCTGCCTCTGGTAATGTCCTTTCTCATGCATTATATCCTCTTTTCTAAAGATGCCATGAGAAATGATTTATTTCACTTGACAGTATAAATTTCCATTGCCCAATTTGTCTTGATTGACAGAATGGAGAGATTAAGTGCATCTTCTACTTTTCATTCCTCCTATAATTTTTTTTTATCTTTATGCAATAAGAGCCCCCACAAGAGATCATTCGCATATCTCTGTGGGCCAATAAGCCATGTAAATCATCAATCTGCTTCTAGACATGTCTTCTTAGCCTTGAATTAGAGCATCACTTGAAACCAATAGCATGGTCTCTTGTTTGATTCGTTAAGATTGTTATCAAGAAAAAAGAATCAGAATATTGTCTAAAATTAGAGACGAAAACGATCAAACAACCGAATGTTTTCGAGTCCAGAGATTAATGTGGTTGTAAATAGTTGAGGGACAGAATGAAATTAGAATAAAGTGGACATGGTGCTTTCCTATGCTGCAACTTGCAGATATGCTGCTCTTTTTGTGAAAGTGGTTAGTTTTATCATTTACTATACAAAAATTACCTATAATTACCATATTGGTCATGCTATAATCTCTCCTTTTATGCTTTTGGCTATGCCCGCATGGGTTTGAAACGCATACTCTAAGAAAAATGCAAAAAGTTCACACTTATTAGTAGTTCATACACTTTTCGCCAAGCGATGCGTGACAAGATACGTGGATTTCAAACCCTCAACACTCATTAATTTTGGCCACAAGTCTCGGAGGTCTTATTAATTAAGAGAAAGGAAGGTATGAAGTGTTTGGGTTTCTCATGGATGCTGCTGCAGAAACAACAGTGCTAATTGGAAGAAATACAGCAAGTTCATTTAGGAATTTGGCGATGGTGGAGGGGAGAGAGAGAGAGAGAGAAAGACTAAAATAGTGTGTTTGTTTTGTGATTTGCATCGAACTGTACATAACATACATGAAATTTATCATATGCATTCTCTATTTGTCTTACTAGATTACAAATAATTATTACAAATCAAAAGCAATGATTAGGAAAAAAAAAATTCTTGTTCTTAATAATAATTGCTGGAAATGTAAAGGTCAATAAAAATTAAGACGATCATTAAGAAATTGAATTGGGGCTCTTTCTGCCTAATGAAAGGCTAGGCGGTTTGTCTCCATTAACAGGGTCGTAACAAAAGATCCATATTAGAGAACACTGAAAAGTTTTTGATTATCTTTATTTGGTTGGTAGGGCACCCTTAAAATCACAAAGCCATGATGTTCTTATGGACTGTCACAGGAAACAGTACCACGGAAGTGCAACAGTCACACCACCATCAACGGCAGAATCTTTACAGAACTTTTTTTTTGGTAAGTTTAATTTATAGAGATCTAGATTCCCTTAATACACCTTTTTTTCAATTTCTGTTCAATTAGTATATCACCCGTTGTGTTTTATTGACTTCTTTTATATTTTTGTTTCCGCTAATACTTATAACAAACTTTGACCGACTCTTTTTATGTCCAATTCCATCAATTTTCGTCTAGAAAATTCTTATTTATTCGTCAACGATTGATCTAGCTCTTAAAATATATAATATTCTTGATTTTTGTAGGTGATTCACTTATATACAGTTAGTTCCATTTGAATTCATAACTCGTAATCTACCCTTGGGAAATATTTAGAAGAGTTGTACTCAAAAAGATCCAAATCCATCCAGAAAAACCCCAAAAGACATGTAAATGGTGCAATCTAACATGCATCTTATTTTATACGACATATCGTTTTAATTTAGTAAATAATCAATGCTCCTAAACATAGGATCTTCTTTCTCAAAAGAATTGTTTGAGAAAGATGTTAAAAAGGAGAGATTATCTAGCAGAAAAAGCAAGAGGGCTTTGAATCATATGATGCCTCAATGAGTGGAATGTAGACTCATATTCGACTAAAGTTAGCAAGTCAAGCATGGTTAACCCGGCAAATTTTTGTGGGTTATCAATATGTTATTAAGGGATTATAGTTAAAAGGAAGGAATCAAATTGTTAAATTGGAAGAGAATGCTTTCTGACTCGGCCAATTTGAAGGGAGCATCCAATAACCTGCTCTCTTAGTTCAAACTGATTGGTTTTCAAGCTTATTATCTTTGAGATGTTAGGTTCAAATCTCGCAAAAGACGAGTACGTGTATTAAAAAACACATGGTTGGGATGATCAGTTATCCAAAAAACAATAGTTACAGGCAACTATACGGTATGTTCTGCTTCCTTTAAACCAGTGTTTTTCACTCCTAAAACCACCGCATTCCTGATATACATTCCAATTTGCTTTGCGGGAATTTGGATAACCTCATACGGAGTATATATTCAGGGTAGAAAGCCTCAAAAGTCCTCAATAAAACTACTGAAAAATCAAAATGAAAAGAGAACCCATATTGAGAATGTTCCATAGCAATTTGGCAGCATAGAATTTGAACTTCCTAGCAACAATAATCCAACATCCTTCCAGTTCAATTACTATCTGCTAATTCAAAGCCAAATATATTCGCAAAAGGACCCAAAAATTGCAGAAACACAGCTGTGGTACAGGACTGAAATTAGACATGGCCTTCCAAGCCATTGAGAGTTTTCAGGGTAATAATATCATCCATGAGGATAGTGCTGCGCAGTCTGCACTTGAAAAACCAAATTCTGAGGTCTTTCATGAGGTTCATGTAAAGCAACTCTCTGAAGATTTTGACCCTGCATTTTAATCCCACCATATGAATCAACTCCATAATGTGACATGAACATATTCCCATGTGCTAGGTTAAAACCATTTTGCTGATCCCATTGAAAAGGTGTTGGCATGGAAGTAGAATTCGGCTGCTGGGAAAGCACAGAAGATTGCTCCGGTGAAGGAGGTTTTTTACTGTCTAGCGAAGGCGTTTGTTTCTCGTTGAGATTAACAGTTGTTATATCATGTATGCTTGCTCTTCTCTTATCTTTTCCACCCGAGAGCTGCCTGATGAAGTACTTCTGGGCATGGCTAGCAACTTGAGTCGGAGTTCTAGTAATCACAAAATTGCGGGAGATATTTCTCCAGTCACCTTTTCCATACTTTTTAAGCCCCAACAAGAACAGTCTGAGATAAAACATCCAAAACCCAAATCAAAAAAATAATGTGAATGCTGATAGTAAACAAGGAAATCAATAGAACAAACCTCCTTAGCAGAATACAAGAAAATCATCTAATAGAGAAAAAACCTAACCAGGAGATATGTTTTTGATATGACACATATTTAGCGTATGATTATTTATCATTTGATGGGAAAAATGCACCCATCTTGTATTTAATTACAGATCATCATGCTTGCATACAATCGCATATCCATTCAAAGAAAGTTTAGTTTCATGCCATACCATAATGAAATTTCAGGATTGAGAAATTTTGCATCAACAGACAAGATGGGTAGATCCATGCCACAAAGGGTACATCTTCTTCTCATAGCTCTTCANTAAAGAAAGTTTAGTTTCATGCCATACCATAATGAAATTTCAGGATTGAGAAATTTTGCATCAAGAGACAAGATGGGTAGATCCATGCCACAAAGGGTACATCTTCTTCTCATAGCTCTTCATGCATAAAGCTCTCAATATGTATAGACAGTGACAACTATACGCACTCAAAAATCATGCAAATTACAACAATCAAGGAATCACGAAATCTTTCTAATGGAGATTGAGACTGACTTGGTGAACTCATATCTTCAACAAATATCATCATACACTAAAGCACATAAAAGAACATGAATTCAAATTGAGAACTTACTTATGCTCTTCTTCTGTCCATGGAACACCCTTCTTTCTCTCTTGCTCCAAAGACCGATTCGACGAAGATCTCTTCCCCACAGGACCATATGTTTGCTTGAATCCATCAAAACCATGACAATTTCCCCACTCCAAGGTAAAAGGGGAGGTACTATATCCAGGAATTGGAACTAACCCTGCTTCTATACTACTGACATCATCCTCCAATTCTTTATATTGCTTCATTACATCCCCCACAGTCTTCCCCGGAACCATTGCCGCGATTTTTTGCCATCGATCGGGCGTGTCATTATCAAATAATGCAAGAGCATTTTCAAACTTTTTGTTCTCTTCTGGTGTCCATAGTGTGCTCTTGCTGTCTTCAAGCAACCACCTTGAGCTCGAAAAAGAAGAGGCCGGTGACAGAATCTCCATACCCCACCTCATAAAAACTGAACACCGTCAAAAACCCAGATATAGTTTATATAATTAGGGTTTCTGCATCAGCGGATTGGCTCAAAACTCTGGAATTCGATGAAACAGAGGAAAAACAGAGCAAGTGGGAGAGGGAACCCAGAAGAGGATTGAAGAGAGGTAGAAGTTTCACAATGACAATGCATGTGTTAAATCAACAAGCATTTGTGAGGAATCTAAAAAAGACCCAACTTTTCAGAACCCAAAAAAATCACAAACAGTGACAAAACAAAAGTAAAATTAAAATTTAACCATCTCCCTAAAATAAAACCCTAGAAGCCATCATTAAGATCTGAACCCACTGAACTAGCATAAGGACAAAAGAGCCAAAATCCAGGACAAAAAAATCAAAGAAAATGAAACAGACCCTGCTGTAGAACTTGAACAAAGGAGAGGTTGCAAGTGAGTGCTGGTACTAGCTTTCTTCAAATTTCGCCTCTTGATGTCTCAATTATGAGAGAGAGAGAGAGAGAGAGAGAGAGAGAGAGNTGTGGGCCAATAAGCCATGTAAATCATCAATCTGCTTCTAGACATGTCTTCTTAGCCTTGAATTAGAGCATCACTTGAAACCAATAGCATGGTCTCTTGTTTGATTCGTTAAGATTGTTATCAAGAAAAAAGAATCAGAATATTGTCTAAAATTAGAGACGAAAACGATCAAACAACCGAATGTTTTCGAGTCCAGAGATTAATGTGGTTGTAAATAGTTGAGGGACAGAATGAAATTAGAATAAAGTGGACATGGTGCTTTCCTATGCTGCAACTTGCAGATATGCTGCTCTTTTTGTGAAAGTGGTTAGTTTTATCATTTACTATACAAAAATTACCTATAATTACCATATTGGTCATGCTATAATCTCTCCTTTTATGCTTTTGGCTATGCCCGCATGGGTTTGAAACGCATACTCTAAGAAAAATGCAAAAAGTTCACACTTATTAGTAGTTCATACACTTTTCGCCAAGCGATGCGTGACAAGATACATGGATTTCAAACCCTCAACACTCATTAATTTTGGCCACAAGTCTCGGAGGTCTTATTAATTAAGAGAAAGGAAGGTATGAAGTGTTTGGGTTTCTCATGGATGCTGCTGCAGAAACAACAGTGCTAATTGGAAGAAATACAGCAAGTTCATTTAGGAATTTGGCGATGGTGGAGGGGAGAGAGAGAGAGAGAGAAAGACTAAAATAGTGTGTTTGTTTTGTGATTTGCATCGAACTGTACATAACATACATGAAATTTATCATATGCATTCTCTATTTGTCTTACTAGATTACAACTAATTATTACAAATCAAAAGCAATGATTAGGAAAAAAAAAATTCTTGTTCTTAATAATAATTGCTGGAAATGTAAAGGTCAATAAAAATTAAGACGATCATTAAGAAATTGAATTGGGGCTCTTTCTGCCTAATGAAAGGCTAGGCGGTTTGTCTCCATTAACAGGGTCGTAACAAAAGATCCATATTAGAGAACACTGAAAAGTTTTTGATTATCTTTATTTGGTTGGTAGGGCACCCTTAAAATCACAAAGCCATGATGTTCTTATGGACTGTCACAGGAAACAGTACCACGGAAGTGCAACAGTCACATCACCATCAACGGCAGAATCTTTACAGAACTTTTTTTTTGGTAAGTTTAATTTATAGAGATCTAGATTCCCTTAATACACCTTTTTTTCAATTTCTGTTCAATTAGTATATCACCCGTTGTGTTTTATTGACTTCTTTTATATTTTTGTTTCCGCTAATACTTATAACAAACTTTGACCGACTCTTTTTATGTCCAATTCCATCAATTTTCGTCTAGAAAATTCTTATTTATTCGTCAACGATTGATCTAGCTCTTAAAATATATAATATCCTTGATTTTTGTAGGTGATTCACTTATATATAGTTAGTTCCATTTGAATTCATAACTCGTAATCTACCCTTGGGAAATATTTAGAAGAGTTGTACTCAAAAAGATCCAAATCCATCCAGAAAAACCCCAAAAGACATGTAAATGGTGCAATCTAACATGCATCTTATTTTATACGACATATCGTTTTAATTTAGTAAATAATCAATGCTCCTAAACATAGGATCTTCTTTCTCAAAAGAATTGTTTGAGAAAGATGTTAAAAAGGAGAGATTATCTAGCAGAAAAAGCAAGAGGGCTTTGAATCATATGATGCCTCAATGAGTGGAATGTAGACTCATATTCGACTAAAGTTAGCAAGTCAAGCATGGTTAACCCGGCAAATTTTTGTGGGTTATCAATATGTTATTAAGGGATTATAGTTAAAAGGAAGGAATCAAATTGTTAAATTGGAAGAGAATGCTTTCTGACTCAGCCAATTTGAAGGGAGCATCCAATAACCTGCTCTCTTAGTTCAAACTGATTGGTTTTCAAGCTTATTATCTTTTAGATGTTAGGTTCAAATCTCGCAAAAGACGAGTACGTGTATTAAAAAATACATGGTTGGGATGATCAGTTATCCAAAAAACAATAGTTACAGGCAACTATACGGTANGCTGAAAAAAAGGCGAAAGAAGACACCAAATGAAGAACCTAGATACACCAAAATCTGGAAAACGGAAACCCAAGCGAAAAAAACTGTAAGGGATTCTGAATTCTGACGANGCGAAAGAAGACACCAAATGAAGAACCTGGATACACCAATATCTGGAAAACGGAAACCCAAGCGAAAAAAACTGTAAGGGATTCTGAATTCTGACGAACTAACTGGGTCTCCGAAAGAAAAAGAGAGAAAGGTTTGTGCTTTCTTCCTTTGTTTCCTTGATGTATGAGCAACAAAGAAAAGAGAAGAAAGCAGGAAAAAGATGATGAGAACGGAAGAAAAAGCGAAGTAGCAAGCTTCACGGAATGAATCTAAATTTGCTAAAATCCTTGGAGAGAGAAAGAGAAAGAGATCTACACTATACAGAGCAAAAGCAGAGAGGAGAGAGAGAGAGAGGCTGAAGGTGGTGGGTTGTGATTGGATGGTATGATGTCTGTGGATACTGCAACTCATAAAAATGATTATTTGTTATTATAATATATAGATTTCTCTGGAAAGTAAAGTTAACATTATTTCTAATAATAATTTTTTTTGATTATGACACAAGTTTGGGGAGGCACTCGTGGAGACGTATTGACAAATCACCACAGAAATTAGTGTTTTCAAAAACATTTAAATGATATTACAATCTTGTCTGACCAGAATAACCAATAATGAGATTCATAATTAAAAGTAATTTTGATTCTTTAACTGCTTAAACCAAAAAACAGGTTGGGACCGACGGCTAGCCGCCAAACTGACAGTACAGATCAAAGGTCAATTACCAGGGAAATGTTAATGTTACGGGTCCACAACCACCATTCCAAAAACATCTCATTGGGCAGCTTTCCCACGTAATTGGTCAGGCGACAATCCCATGTATTGATCCCTACACACACAGAATGGTCCTACCTCGTGCTACTCATTGAGTTCTGTTCGTTTCACCTCTAATCAACCCGAATTCCAACCCTTCTTTTTTATTTTTTTTTGGGTTCATAGTGTTTGGCTATTCCCTCAAACTTAAAGGTTGATCACATGAATTGAACTAGGTCAGAAAATATCCCTAAAAATCAGGATGATTAACCTTTTAAGAAGTGTGGAAAGAAATTGAATTTAAAATTTCTAAATTACTAAAAATCAAACTCAATTATTAGATCACTCTTAAAGATTATCCAAATTTAAACTTGTTTAGGCTCGTTTGATAAACATATTATGAGAGAATTAAATATTAAATTATATTATTTTTTATTTAATTAGACCTAATATTTTGTTTGGTAAATAAATTTGATATCAGATTAATTTCAAAAATATACACTAATTATATATTTTTTTTATAATAAACTAGTATTATGGATGTATTTTAATACCACCAAGAAAGATAATATTATAATTTAACTCAAATATATTATTCTGCACATTTACTATTTTAATTCCTCAACTTATAAAATTAAGCCATCATTNATAATAAACTAGTATTATGGATGTATTTTAATACCACCAAGAAAGATAATATTATAATTTAACTCAAATGTATTATTCTGCACATTTACTATTTTAATTCCTCAACTTATAAAATTAAGCCATCATTAATATAATAAATACTAATTGAGGGTATTTTTATTAATTCAATATTACTACGAGAAAATAATTCTCTAATCAAACAACCGATTAAATTAAATAATTATTATTCAACGTTTACGTTTATATTGTCAAACAGTTGCATATTATTATAATACTCTATTTAATTTTTTTTTATTCCGTATTGTATTAGAATGAATTATTTTATCTTATCTATTTATTTCTAATACGATAATCAGGTATGACATAAGTCTTAATAGGATTAAAATGATTGCCAACACTATCAATGCTACTAACCCTTTTTAATGGAACATCTTCCTTAAGCTAGGGAGAAAAAAGAGTTAATTGTATTAGAGATTCTCAAAATATAGAGTTTATCTTATTTTGATCCCCATTATTTTATTTTGATCAAATTTTTACTCAATTTTTTGTTAAATATCTACCTAAATTATATAGTTTTGATTATGAGTTATCTAAATTTTGGTCAAAAGATATCATATTACATATTTTTTTGTCGAGAGTTACTCAAATTTTGTTTAAGAGCTATCAAAATTATTTTTTATTCGTATTTAACTACTACGTGATAAATTTATGATAAAAAATTATTAACAATTTGGACGTTATCTGTTTGAAAGAGCATATAAAAATATATTCAATACTTGAAGAATCAAAATAATGTAATTAAAATATTAAGGACCAAAATAAAATAAATCTGATACTTTGAAAATTTTTAAAACAATTAACCTAATATTTTTTTTCGCCAAACTTCTACGAGCTGTAAGGCCCAATGAATTGGCCCGTAAATTTACGAATATGTCATGACGAGTGAGAGATGAAACAATTCGCTCTTTAACCTTTCAACCACTACAAGACAAAGGGGTCGGCAGTTCCCTTCTGATGTGACTAACTGCTCTCGCTACTTTTGTCCCGTCCTTCCCTTTTTGCCCTCTCATTGTATTTTATTGCCCAATACATATCCCAAGTTTAAGTTAGACTAACTTGGTAAAAGTATTTTATGGGAGTCAATTTTAATGTAATTTTGAGCTCTAAATCACCCATACTCATCCCAATTGGCATTGTTGGCAAAAATATATAAATTAATCTTAAGCGGTAGCTTAGTGAAGATAAAAATGAATTGTAAAAAAAAATTCTTAGTTTCTATAGAAAAAATTTGTATTTGATCAAGTCAAAGAAGAGATTAATCAAAATATGTATGAATTGATTTAGACACCTTCGACTATAATATTAAAAAAAATTCTTAATTAAAGTAGCCTAAATTTTACCAACTCACATCAATCGTCTGGTTAATAAAATTTATTAAAATAGGTGATTATTGATAATTGATGATGCACAAAATGACTTTGTACACTA